GTACGCCCCCCAGCCCCGCCCCGCCCCCCAGCAGTTCCCCCCCGCAAAAATCTCTTCCCCCCCACTCGGCCCTCAGTTGGACCCCTGCCCCTTCTTCTCCACCACCTTGCCCGTTCCCGGAGGGTAGCCCCCCCCCCTCCGCGGGCGCAGGCACCGGGGAAAGGGACACAACAGCCCGGGGAAGGCCATGCAAACCGCTGCCCAGGTTTGGGAGCGGGCACGGCAGCACCCTGCCCTGCATCCCCCTCGGACGGCGGCACAAGCCTCGCTGGGTTTGGGAGGGTGCACCTCCACACCCCACGCCAGCCCCCACCACCGGCAACAGGCTCCTGCTGTACGCACCCCGGGACTCAAGTCGTGAACGCAGGGAAATGATTTATTCTTTTACTTCAAGCTGTTTTGTTCCCCACACCCGAACGCATCCCTCCACAGTCAGCGTGGAAATCCCAGCTTGTGGATCAAGCAACGGCCAGCCCTGAAACCAAAGCAGTCCACGGGGCCTTGAGGTCTGGATGAGGCCCTTTGGGTTTTTAAAGCGGAGGAAAGTTTCAAAGAACGGCGCTCCACCACCGGCTGCTGCTAAACGAGCCTCAAACCTGCAAACAGCTGTGTGGATATTTCAGTCTCTCTGCAAACCATTTCCCTGGCTCCTGCGAAACCGCTTCCGCAGCGCGCAGCTTTGCAAGCATGTAAGTGTTTACAAGATAAATAAACCACTCAGGGGCTGCTTTATTTTTATCAGGGAGATAACACAAGCCAGCAGGAAACAACGTGGAAGCAGCCAGCAGGTTGGTACTCGAAAGGAGCAGGATGGGTCTGTGGTCTCGCAGCCCGGTGCCGTGGGGGGACGGAGCCGCCATGGGAGCTGCTGGGCCCCAGCTGAGGGGCTGATGCCCTGGACACCCCCAGGCAGGCAGCCGAGCCGAACCTTGGCAGCGCACTGGTGCTACACTCCGTCACCTTCCCCATCCATACAGCTCTCAGAAGATGCACGCAATGACAACAGGTCATGTTTTTCCTTGTTTTCCTCTTGTCCTCCCCCTTACTTTCGCCCTACATCCACGCAACAGCCCAGGTACCCGATCTGCTGTGCACCTCTTCGGACTTCCACAGCCCCAGTCCCTCCAGCGATGAAAACTCAGAACAAGGGCACCAGCATAATGTCGCCAGCTCTGTTCTACCAGAGCCCAGGTGTTCCTGAGGACAGTGAACCCTTGGCACCATGGAGACAAGGATGGGGAGGAACTGCTCCCCCCTTCCCATGGGTGCAGAGTTCATGCAGGGAGTGGAGGCACAGCTCAGGCTCTGCACCCCACCAGTGGTCAGAGGACCGGCCATCCCCCAGAGCAATGTTCTGCCCTGTTTAAAGATTCTCCCCTGGTGCCCCAGAAATGTTCTACCTAATGACAATTACACACTGCTCTTTGCTGAAGGGTTACACACACTTCACAGTAAAGACCACATTAATTAATATCAGTTAAAGTAGTGCCTGCAGAAAAGCACAGTGGAGGAAGTGCCGTTGATCATTTGTGTTACTCTAATGCCTAAGAACCCTTACGGTAACATCAAGGCCACTTTTAACCTCAAAACCTGATTCGTCTTTAAAATTTCTAGTTCACTTCCCATCATGCCAGTGAGCCCTTTTCTTTTTGTAACAAGATTTCTCTTGTACCACTAAAAGCTTTTGGTTTCCAGAGGTTCATGCTATTGTCATCTGCTCCCATTGTCATGCAGCACCACTTGTCTTTGGCCTTGCTCACAGTGCCAACACAGGCTATTTTTATGCATTTCTTTACAAAAGAGCTATCAGAGTACATTCAGCATGCCCTTGGAAGAACGCTACCGAAATGAGTCCGTTCCAGGCAGATGATTCCCAGGCGCTGAGCTGTGAAAGCAGTAGTATTAAACAACCACTGCTCCCAAAACTCGAGGAGCTCCCCCTTTCTGGGCAGCTGTGGAGCTCATGCTGCCTCACCTGCTGCTGAGAGCACCCCCAAAGGGCAAACAGTGATGGTTGAGCACAGAGATGACAGTGCACAAACCCAGGTAGGAAACCCTGTGAAGGAATTGATTTCCAGGGAGCGACACACTGCCTCTCCATCAACACCTACTCTGGCGCAACAGGAGCAGCTCAGTAGGTTGAAGCAGTTGGGGCTCAAATTCCTCACACGTTGGGACTCAGATTAGCTGTCCCCATTCTGCAGACTAAGCGATCCCTGGGATGTACGGGCCTCAAAGCTATCCCAAGGAGCCTTTCCCTTCTCGGCTGGAGGTCCTACTTGGAAGCACCAGGCTGTACTTTCACCCACCCTGTGCAGATGGACCATGCCACCATCCCTGTGGCCTATCACTATCCCCTTTCCCACAGCACCACCACTCAGTCCCGCTCACATGGAGTCCCAGGGATACCACAGGGCTGCCTGACTCGCCTCCCAATTCCAAGTTCTGGAAACATTCAACAGCAGGTACTCTTGGGGGAGGTGGCTTACTCCTGTGGCTGCAGCAAGGAGGACATCCTGAGAGCCTCTGGAGCAACCTTCTCCTCTAAGAAACAAAATGCCCAGTGTCTTCCTGGGAGTTTTTGATGATGTCGTGGAGTCAGCTAGAAGTTCCAGGCTTAAGATTGGCAGAACCATGTGAGGTAATGAGCAGCAGGCACAAAGCTTTTCCATGTGGAGAAGCAGTGGTGAGAACCTTTGCTGTGAGCTGGCATGGCTTTGCCACTCTCCTATGAACTTTCAGGAGCACAAACCCAAGTTCAAGTCTGCAGTATTCCTTAGACTCCACAATTCCTGCTGATCAATGGCTAAAGAGTTTGAAGTGGGCATGGACAAAAAGGTGATTGAGGGCCCAGGGGCCATCACCCAAAGCCTCTTCCTCCAAATAGTGGAAAATGAAATCAGCAACCTCAACCAGACCTTTGCATTTTTTTGGGTTCCTGAGCTATAGGGGTGCTGCTGATGGGAGCAATGTCCCTACCCAACACTTGAGCAAGGATGGTTACAACTATGCAAATCCCAGCAGCTACAACTTGATTCTTATGCAGACCTTGGTAGCACATCCACTGAGGTAGGTGCATGGACATGAAATGCTCAAGATCCGCGTCTTCCCTACCACCACCCTCAGAATCACAGGGGTTGCCGGTACCTTGATCCCATGCAAGGAAGCCGTTTGCAGCAGTAGGGTGCCCTCTGCACTGTGGGAGACTCTACCCACACCCCTGAGTCATGAGGTACTACCCAGACAACGATAAGCCCAGTTTAACCATATCCTTTCACCACACACCCTGAATTATGGAAGCCACTGCACCCCACAAGGACAGCGGGAACCTGTCTGTCTGAGCTGGGATAGGGAGGATCACTTTCTCTAGCAGGTGTATGCACAGCTCTTGGCATCCTCTGGACCAGTCAGGACACCCCAGCACAGCATCGGCGTCTGGGATGCCAGCTGTCCTTTTGATCACAAGGACCATGAACATGCTGAGTCCAGGACTGCACTGAGAAGGACAAGGGAGTGAACATCAGGACTGTTTCCCCCATCTGATACATACAACGGGAAGATTACAAAAGGATGAATTGTTTGTACGTCCTCATGGCAGCTGCTCACCTGCCTCTCCCCCAGGAATGGGGCTGGAGGTGTCTGCATATCCCTCACCCCCCTTAGGCATGCATGCTTCACCTTCTCCATCCTGGGGTCCTCAGCCTGCAGCCCCTTTGCACAGGCATGATTCCTCCTCCCCCGTCCTTTCTGCCTTTTCAGTGACCTTCCTGGCCACACACAGTATTAGCACTAACACTTGCCTACACAGCCCTAGGGAAATCTCAGGCCTCGGTGCCACTGATACGCTAAAAGAGGCAAAAGCCGACAGCTCGGGAGGCCTCCTTGCTTCTTCTCCAAGAGAAGACAGGAAGATTTTGGTAGGGCCTTCAGCAGGGAACCAGCTGCAATGGTCTGAGGCAGTAAAACCTGGAATGGAGGAGGCAGCTCAACCCCCACCTCCCAATTAGGCTGAGTGGAACTGAGACAAAGCACTACACTGAAGTGTAACGGCTTGTGCTAATGGATTAGCACTTCACTCTCCACATGTTGTACAGGGACAGCCTGTCCACCAGCTCTGGGATAACAAAGTCTCTATGCTAGAAGGGGACTGGAAGACAGGCAACACATAATACTGAACTTCTGTGAAACTGGCTTTTAAACGAGGGATTCCTGAATTCTGCTAGCTCAAGGTGTGTCCAATTATGTGGGAAACCGATAGCTTTGCAGATTTCACAAGGGTTCTCCACAATTCAAAGTATCATGGAATGAAACAAAATTCAACTGCCACAGTGTGGAGCGGACACACCTAACCTGTAGCTGGCACGCACGCTGCAAGCTTTTGCTCACTAGGCACAGCCTCAGAACAGGAGCGCAGAGAAGCAGTTACAGCTTATGGGTCTAGTGTGTAAAACCCCTTCCAGGGAGAGCTGAAGGGGAGAGTAACTTGCAACTCCGAACACCATAGGAAACATGTATCCTCCACCCAGAGGGGCAGAAAGGCTGAACTGCCCAAAATCACTCTCCTTCCCTCCCAAATCTTCTGCAAGTTCTGCATACACCTAGAACTACTCTCTTCTATAAAGAAGGATGCATTTCAATTTAGAC